ATCGATATCAAAATTCTGAGATAAACATTTTGTACATGCTATTGCTCTTAGCAATCGCTGAAAGTTTCAAAGCGATCGGTCACTCGGTGTAGCTATGACAGACATTGAAAGTTTTTATGAGGTGAGGTCACTTCAAGTGACCTGGTGGCCTGACCTTGAATGACCTTGGTCTGAAATTTTCACAACATGTGTAGAATTGATGTATGATAAGGTGTACCAAAAACGGCGGCGCTCCGCGCCGCCGTTTTTGAGATATTCGCGAAAAACCACAGGGGGGGTGTTCAAACACCCCCCCCCCCCCAGCAGGGCGCGGGTTAACTGCTTGGAATGGTTATTATGGCAAAATTTTCACTCAAGTGAGGGATAACCAAGGGCAGGAAGTATGTATGCTTGTGTGCGTACTGTGTAAGCCACGAAACTGCATTAGCAGATACTCGCTAATATTAGATCCAGCCAAGTCCAAACGCATTCCCAGGTGATGTGCTCCTGATGGGTCAACAATATTTATCGTTCGAGGGCGGATACAGTTTTTACAATACAAAAATATTTTTGCACAACTCTATTCCTTGAATAATTCTCTTCAACGCCTCATTCCTAGTTAAGCGAATTAGCCCACCCTGGTTGAATAAATAAGGCGATTTCGCCACAAGGTCGCGGAAAACCGACCGAAAACGGCCGCGCTCAGCGTTAATTTGGGCATGCAGACTTTAAATACTCGCATTGGGCGGGTAGGGTTTCCCAGGTATTGGCTCCAAAACACCGTATTCGGCTCCCGAATACGTCCAAGTGACCCGCCTCGTTCCTAGTTAAGCTCTAATTAGATCAAGTGACTCATAAAGAGCGAAAAAGCGACAAAAAGCATGAATTTTCCTATGGCGGCGGGCTGCCGGGTTGCCAGACGGCGCACCGGCTATTTCCACTTTTGACACACCATGTATTTGCATTTGTCATGTAAAATCGACCATAAAATATGCATCACACGACACTGTCATATTGTGACCCCCAGTGACCTGACCTGGCATTAGTGACTTCAAATAGCAAAATATGTGTTTCTTGTATTTCTTGTATGCATTTCTTGAAATGCCTGTAAACTGTGAAAATGCGACCTTTGACCTGACGTGCGACGTGACGTCATCGATTGCACCCAGGTCAATGAAATCGGGTCAGGAGGTAGTTCCCCAGTGGGGCTATCGAACGCCGTTTGAATTTTGAAAATCGGCCGGTAGTTTTCCGAGATCTAAGCGGGGGCGTTTCGCCCCCCCCCCCCCTCTCATAATGGTAGGGTCCGCCGATAGCCCTAATGGGCGCGGTTTTTTTCATACATCATCATTTATTACGACAAACCACATTTTACATGATCTCATGTCACAAACGCACGACGTTCCAGCGCCCTCAAAAAGCCCCTGGCCCCTGTCTTCCGCTCACTCCGCACCAAACTAGCCAACATAATATAAACAACATAGGGCGCGGGTTAAAGGGACCCTCCCACCTTAACATTAGATTTGAGTTGAGATAGCCAAAATGGGGTCCCTGGCTCACAATTACCGGTTTCGGCACTCACAACATCGAGAAATGCCTTAAATCGGAAATATTGAATTTCAAAATTGCAGCATTTTGATTCAGAGGGGCTAATGCTTAGGAATACCCCTCTGAATGTGTGACGTCAGCACAGATATCTAACGATTTTTAAATGTTTGACTAAAACGTTTTGTAGCACGCGGTGGCATATGCTATTTGCGCGCAACATCTGCCGCAAACGCCGCACTTCTAAAATAAAGTCGCTAGAAACAGCGGAGATCCCAAAAAAGTAAACAAAAGTAAAAGTCTAATATCTTGAATACCGGTGAATATTTTTCGGTGAAATTTGGTAGATATTCGTTTTCGCTCTTTCTGAACCGAGCGACATCACTTTCATGCCAATTCATAAACTTTTTTGAAGGTGGGAGGGTCCCTTTAAGCGTGTCAATATTAAGTAAACTGTCTAGGCCGTTTCAAACTGCCTAGGCCGTTTTCATACGGCCTGATATTTCAGGCGGTTTGCAAACGGCCGGCTTTTTCAGGCCGTTTTCAAACGGCCTGACTGGGCCAGGCCGTTTGCAAACGGACTGGGTTTTCATACGGTCTGTAACATATATACCACTTTACGTCCTAAACAAACCAAAAATAGACTTGAGTGACTGTATGAGTTTTAATGGATTGCGTTTTTTTCTCATATTTTATAGGCTTTTAGCATTTTTGAATATCACAGAATACATGTTACTGCGCATGCGCGATGATCTTCGGGCTGAAATGTCACCAATCTAATGATTATTGGCATCAAAGCTCTCAGCCAAAAAAAAAAGTTTCATTGCTCTCCGTTCATGGGTGGCCATGTGTGGGACTCAAGAGGCTAGGCAATGAGTGCGCTCAGTTCATTTTGACCACATTTCAAGGACTGCTTGGTGTCCGTCTCGCATTTCATGAAATGCCTAATAGTTTCAGGCATTCCCCGTAACGCGCGTATCTCTACGAATATTTCAGTCTTTGGCGGCATTCCATGTGAATATGTAGACATCTCATGAAATGCCGGATTTCAGCCGATGCCAACGACATACACATATGTAAGCATAGTACAACCCACCGCTAAAGTAATGTAGGGTTTTACCAATCTCAACGGTTGGCTTTGACTGGCGATTATTTAACCCTATTCCTGGCGGGCTCCGCCGGGACAAGAAACTGGCGGGGGGGGCCGATTCGGCCCCCCCCCCTGAGATCTCGAGAACGAAGCAAGATAGCGACAAGCGGTAAACGGCATCGGATACGCACGGCCAAGATCTACAATTTTTACAAAGGTCATTTTCAGGTCAGGTCAAAGATGACGTCACAGGGGTCGAAAAAGTCAAAATGGCGGCGCTAGATATGGAGAGTTTTTTCTCGAATAACTTTCGAATTAGTCAAGATAGGAACAAACTAAGGGCATCATCGTGATCCTCTCGTCAATCCGCATCGAATGATATATATGTTGACCTTGAAAGGTCAAGGTCAAAGGTTGACCTCAGGTCACGTGACCTCGAGGTCATCATGTATATCATTCGATGCGTCTTGACGAGCTGAACACAATGAGACCATCCACGCGTCTGTATCTTGTTACTGTACGGAGTTATTGGCCAAAACCCTTTGGTGACCTTTGATGACGTCACATGACCTCACAGCTGCCCAACAGCAAAACAGACCTCAAGGTAGTGAAGGTTGATCGTAAATGAAGTCATGTATGGTATATGGGGCCATTCCGACCCGTTTTAGTGGTAAAAACAGGGAGTTGATTTTTCCCCCATTGACTTATAATGGGGAGGTCGCGAAACTGACCTGACCTTAGGTCACCGATATCAAAATTCCGAGATATACAAATTGCACATACTGGTACCCTAACTAAAGCCTGAAGAGAAGAAATTGATCGGTCAAAAACTCTAGCTCTGGCGTGATTGCAAACTTTTCTGAGGTAGGGTCACCAAACCGCCTCTGGTGACCTGACCTGAGGTCAAATCAACTCAAAATTTTCAGACGTGTTGCGTAGAAGCCTTATAGGAAAAGTCAGAAAATTTGAGCTTCCTAGCTCAACGCGTTTGGGAGAAATAACCAAAAAACCTCAGGGGGGGGCTCCTGAGGCCCCCCCGCCAGGAATAGGGTTAATGTGGAGTGATCGAAAAGAAGATGTCAATAGCTAAAGTTGCAGCTGCAAGGGTGACGATACATATAATCTGCATTCAAAGTTTCATTGTAGTCTGGCTAATCGTTCCTAAGCTTCAGATTAGTTCAGAAGCAGAATATACCCACACTGAAAACAAAATGACACAAAAAAACGACTAAAAACGCACAGGCAGAGCGTGTTAACTAGGCTTTCTTGTGTACCCTGCATCATGCATTTTTTGACCCGTCGCAGACGTGTCAATTTACAAATGTGTTAACCCAGTCGTGTTGTGTCCTAAAACACAATATCATTGTGTCTTCAACACATAAGGCTTGTGTGAATACATTTGCAGAATAAAAGGTAAATGTGTTACTAAATTTAACACAAATCGCAAGTGAAAGAAGGAAACACGTGGTGATTGTGTAGTTTGTTGCCGGGGCGCAGTTGAAGGGACTTTGGCTTTGGCTGGACAGGCTGACTGCCAAAGCCGGGCCCCGAGTGGAAACGGGCGCTCGGGTGCGGTCAGGGCTGAGCACCCGGCCGGCCGACCCATACGAGGCCGCCGACCCATACACGAGATGGAGTTGCACCCGGTCGGGCACCTCAGAGCCGAAGGGTGAACGCGTCACGTGGACGGCTCAATCAGAGCACCAAGTGAATATGCCCCAAATTGGAGGACTACTGTATAATACAGTTGTTCAGACAGCCGGGATAAATTTATGGCCACCGAATTTTCAAATATATCCTATATAGACCGAGGAGTTTCTTCCTCCAAACAGACGTTAATTAGCTATGCTTCAGCTTGCATTTGATGTAATCAGGGCATATTGCTCTAGACAATTTATCATGTATCGACTCCCTCGGCTGTATTGTGCATTTTGACCTTTCTCAAAACACTTTAATAAATTTTATAAAAACCCAGCATAAAAGCCGGTGCTCGAAAAACGCCCTCTATTATCCCCATCTGAAGTTAAGGTTCAGAGGTCGCTCACTGGTGGATGGCACGGTGTATTTGTGTAAGGGTACACGTCTACCATATCCGACAACACGTGATTTCGATACACTGATGCATTACATTCGTCCAGCGTGCTTGGCACGAGAAAATTGTGTCATTATTCTGTTCTATGTGTTATCAAACGTATCGAAGGTCCCGCCAAGCGTGAAAATACTCAGCCTTATTGTGTTTTGGGTGCGATTAACTCATGACTGATGTGTTACCAGTACAGAACATGCCCTCACTGTGCCAATTTGTTTTCAGTGCATGACTGAAACCCCACATTACTTCTGCTGTGGACTGTACATACCCTTTTACTACTCATAAATAGGTGCCCATTAATATCTGATGACTGTATTGAAACATTTTGATGTCGCAATAACAAGGGAACAAATCAAGCTGCAACATGCAATAGCAATAAATGCACATAAGTTATAACATAACGATCTTCAGAAACCCTAACGTGAACACTAGCCGTTTTCACTTAAAACACTGAAATAAATTAATAAAATGAAGATATTTGCTGTAAAAGAGATTAGGTGCAGATTTGGTCAAATTAGGTGCATTCGCCGGATAGCCCGTCGTGAAAACGGCTAATAACTGTACAAAACAAGAAATAATAATAATTAAGAATTAAAGTAACACATGAACGGTGATGACACCAAATGTGACGCTGCACAATGCACGAGGTCTCCAATGGGTGACTAATTGCTGCATATGCAGTGACACAAGGTCCATAGCCTTGTTTGGCTGTTAGTAGAGCCGCCCGCAGTCGGCTTACAAGCCGCCCGCAGCCGCCGCAGTCGGTGTCGGCGCGCCCCTAGCGGCCGCAGTCGGGGTCCAGCCGCCGCAGTCGGGGTCCAGCCGCCGCAGTCGGGGTCCAGTCCGCCGCAGTCGGGGTCCAGTCCGCCGCAGTCGGGGTCCAGTCCGCCGCAGTCGGGGTCCAGTCCGCCGCAGTCGGGGTCCAGTCCGCCGCAGTCGGGGTCCAGTCCGCCGCAGTCGGGGTCCAGTCGCCGCAGTCGGGGTCCAGTCGCCGCAGTCGGGGTCCAGTCCGCCGCAGTCGGTGTCGGCCCGCCCCTAGTGGCCGCAGTCGGGTTGTAGCCGCCGGCAGTGGCCGCCGCGGGCCGCCGCCGCCGTGGCCCGGCAGAGGTCAGCCGCCGCCCGGCCAACGTCGTCCCGCAACAGCAGCCACGAGACAGGTCCGCTGCAACGGGCGACACGGGCCGTCACAGACGCACGCGCACCCAGACAGGGGCACGCAGACATACATAGACGTTCGGTGGAATTCTATGGTAGGATGACTTGAACTTCGATGTTGTGTACAATGTCAAATTCTACCTTCAAGTGAGAGTGATAAAATATCCAGACTTAAGCAAAACCGGAGGATACTAGTCTCAAAGAGTTTCGTGACAATGGGAGGACGTGAGGTTAAAAACCGCCAAGTTGTAGTCCGCTGGATATGTAACGCCCCCGAAATGAAAACAAACCATAAAGACACGTCACACGACGCAAACAGGCAGCACACCTGCACTGGGCGTCCGGCTGGACGGGACGAGACCGGCCGCATAGAGGCTGCCATCATCGCTCCGCCAAATCTTAATGCGGGTCAAACGGATTTAAAATATTTCAGCATCGTTTTATGAGACGAACAGTTTGAAAAATACGTTGATAATTTTCCACTAACCAAGGCACTTTGTTGTCTGAGACGCCTGGTTTCAATTTTGCCGTGTTTGTGTTGTCATTGTCTGTGATTCAATTGAAAAAGAGCCAGCAACGTAAATACGTTAAAGACAACCAGCTAGGTGAATGAGCAGCCAGGCGAAAACACTGCCGGTCTTTGTCTAGTTAGGTCACTGGAAGGCCGGCCAGTTCTAGTAGCTCCGTCCGGCGCTGTGCAGTGTGAGGCCGGGGAGGGGATGGGAGGGGAGCTGAGGGGAGCGCCCCCGCCGCGGGACGGCTGCTGTCCCTGCCCTGGAGAGCGGGCGGCTGCCCTTACCTGGCCAGAGAGACCAGTGCGCCGTACTGCGGGCTCGCCGAGTGCGCGGCTGCCGCCAGCTCGCAGAGACGCCGCGCGACGCACGGCCTGCCGGAGGCGGTCAGCTGCGGCGCCGGCCTCCAGCCGCCCGCGCCCGCCGCGCGACTGCTGGCTCTTATAGTGTCTGTCGTGGTCCCTCCCGTGGTCGTCCCTTCTGCAGTGGTCGTTCCTCCCGTGGTCGTTCCTCCCGTAGTCGTTCCTCCCGTCGTTGTTCCTCCCGTGGTCGTTCCTCCCGTGGTTGTTCCTCCCGTGGTCGTTTCTCCCGTGGTCGTTTCTCCCGTGGTCGTTCCTCCCGTGGTCGTTCCTCCCGTGGTCGTTCCTCCCGTGGTTGTTCCTCCCGTGGTCGTTCCTCCCGTCGTTGTTCCTCCCGTGATCGTTCCTCCCGTGGTCGTTCCTCCCGTGGTCGTTCCTCCCGTGGTGGTCGTGGTCGTTGTTGTGGTTGAACCTCCGCCAGTGGACCCTCCTCCCGTCGTTGTATTGCTGCTGCCGCTGCCGCTCGTTCCACTCGTGGTGCTAGTGGTTGTGGAGGAGCTGCTCCCGCCGCTGCTGCTGCTGCTACTGCTGCTGCTGCTGCTGCTGCTGCTGCTGCTGCCGCTGCTGCTGCTGCTGCTGCTGCTGCTGCTGCTGCCGCTGCTGCCGCTGCCGCTGCCACTGCTGCTGCTGCTGCTGCTGCTGCTGCTGGCAGCGGCAGCCACTAACACAGCTGTCTGGGTCAGTGACGTCACGCCCAGGCCAGCCAGCGTCGCCAGACCGGTCAGGATGCCGGCGGTGCCTATGGCAGACGAGCCGGTCAGCGGTCAGCGGGGTCTGTCAGCAGGAGTCGGTCAGCGGGAGTCGGTCAGCGGTCAGCACAAGCCGGTCAGCGTTCAGCAGGAGTCGGTCAGCGGGAGTCGGTCAGCGGTCAGCGGGAGTCGTTCAGCGGTCAGCGGGAGTCGGTCAGCGGTCAGCACAAGCCGGTCAGCGGTCAGCAGTAGGAGTCGTTCAGCGGGAGTCGGTCAGCAGGAGTCGGTCAGCAGGAGTCGGTCAGCGGTCAGCGAAAGTCGGTCAGCGGTCAGCACAAGCCGGTCAGCGGTCAGCAGTAGGAGTCGTTCAGCGGGAGTCGGTCAGCAGGAGTCGGTCAGCGGGAGTCGGTCAGCGGTCAGCGAAAGTCGGTCAGCGGTCAGCGGGAGTCGGTCAGCGGTCAGAGGGAGTCGGTCAGCGGTCAGCGGTCAGCGGGAGTCGGTCAGCAGGAGTTGGTCAGCGGGAGTCGGTCAGCGGGAGTCGGTCAGCGGGAGTCGGTCAGCGGGAGTCGGTCAGCGGTCAGCGGGAGTCGGTCAGCGGTCAGCGGGAGTCGGTCAGCGGGAGTCGGTCAGCAGCGGGAGTCGGTCAGCAGGAGTCTCAGAGGAGTCTCACGAGTCTCGTAGGAAGATAGGGTAGACTGGGGTAACGCGCACCCCCGAGGTAATGCGCCCCACGTCAATATCTCATATTTTTTAAGTCCCTGCCGACCAATGAACAGGCTCTCCAGAAAGCTCGCCTGCTATATCTTCTGTGTCGATATTTTTCCGGCGGGATTGATCGTGGGATGGGGCTCATCTGAGGTAAGTTTTGTTTTATGCAATTTTCATGCAATGTTCACGACTTTTATAACTAGTGAGGTCGTGACATAATCCGCGCCCTGATGTGGTCTGCCGAGCAATGCGCCCTGATGAGAGGGGGCTATTTTGTCCCCTCCCTTTTTGGGGGACCATTTCGGGCCATTTTTTGACGTCACAGGTCAGGAAAAATGTCCAATTTTCACCGTTTAGAGGCATTTCCGGAATTGTGTTGTAAAATCGAGTAAAAAGGCATATTACTGAAAACCATCGATATTAACCTTCGCCCCAGTGGGGGGGGAGGCATATGTTACCACCCTGTCGCTTTTTTATGTGTGAATAAAAAACCGCGGCGCTACGCTTGGGGTAGCTTTTGGTACACCAATTTTGGACAATGTGTGAAATTTTTGAACCCACGTCATGTCAGGTCAGGTCACCAGGTCCAGTTAACTGACCAAGCCTAAACAAGTTTGCAATCATGTCCAGCCTGCAGTGTTTGTCAGAAAGGTTTTAAACTTGGTGGATTACGCGATGTTATGGGCTTCTACAATTTGTATATCTCGGATTTTTTATATCCGTGACCTAAGGTCAGGTCAGTGGCGTGACCTTTCCATTGCAAGTCAACGGAGAAAAATGAAAATGCCTCTAGATCCGTGTGTACGCATAGGAACAGTCCAAATATTTCAGAATCACAACGATTTGGACCACTCGTGATGACCAAGGTGTCATTTTTGCTGATAGCCTCTAGAAAGGTCATCCGAAGTCATTTGAGGCTACAAACAGATTTTTGCCAATAACTCGCGATTGGAAAGAGATAGAACGCTGGGGATGGTCTTATTGTGTTTGTCTTGTTGAGACGCATCGACTGATATGCAATATGACCCTTTCCGGTCAGGTCATGACCTTGACCTGAGGTCAAATTTTCAAATTGTTCTTTCAAGGTCAAATTATAGTTCATTCGACGCGTCTCGGCGACAGGAACACGATTCTGGCAATAGAAATGACGTGGCTTTTTGTAGTCGAAAGTTATTCTCGAAAAACACTTTTCGTAAAAACAGCTATTTTTGGAGTTTTTGCCCTCTGGAGGCTAAACCGTTAACCTGAGTTCAATTTTGATAATGACCTTATCAAAAGAAGAGTTCAAAAGCTGTCGATTGCTTTCCCATGCGTTTTTCTAGCTACCATAGTTCCTGAGATAACGGCATGTTTTCTGAAAAATATAATGACCATTTGCAAATTTTGACCTTTGATTACCTCTGGTGACCCCAATATTGCTCTAAGATGAAAAATGATTGAAATACTTTCAAACGTACGCATTGAGAGCTATCGACTGCTTTTTACCGCGTCTTTCTAGCCCTCTTAGTTTTTTAGTTAGAGGGGGGTGGTAACATATGCCCCCCCCCCCCCCCCACTAGGGCGAAGTTGGCTGAGACCGCCACTGGGGCGCGGGTTAAATTTTCCGTCAAACACATATTTTGCTATTTGAGGTCACTTTTACCAGGGCAGGTCACAGAGGTCAGGTCACTGAGAGTCACAATACGAAAGTGTCGTGTGATATGTGCGCACCTTAAACTTTGGACTCCAAATTATGCCATAGAACCAGACTTGCGCTATCGGAGGTAGAGGTCAGGGTCAACGCAACAAGCCTCGTTTAGCGGGGCTCTGTCTTTGTGAATCCTTCCATTCAAAAGGTTCGGACTAAATTTATACAAAAATGCATGTTTTATGGTCCCTTTTACATGACAAATGCGATTATGTGGGTCAGGCAGCCTTTAGAGCCAGTTAAGGCTATGTTCCGGTGAAGGTCAAGTCAAGGTCCTCCCCGTGGCCTAGTGGATAAGGCGTCCGTCTCCCAACTCTGTGGCAGCAAGTTCGCAGCCGGGAAGCTCCACCTCGTTTGACCCGCGTTCCTATATTAAACCGCGCCCCGCTGGGCTGTTCAGCCATACGCGCCCTGCTGGGGGGGGGAGCAGATTCTGCCCCCCCCCGTCTAACTTCCGAACCGATGGTCGTAGAAAGACGGGGAAAACGGCAATCGAAAGCACTCAACAAGGCAGATCTTAAGAGCCCAAATATTGTTTTGCTTAAGTAGGCCAGAGGTCAGGTCAAGGTCAGGTCAAGTGAGGGCAAATTTTGAAGTTGGTTGTTTAGGCAGCGTCCGAAATCGACGAAAATTTCCGGCTTTCCGAAAATGAAACAAAATGCCTTTATTAAAATATATATATATATATATATATATATATATATATATATATATATATATATATATATATATATATATATATATATATATATATATATATATATATATATATATCAGAATATTTGGGAAGCAGGTTCTCTCTGATACATATGTCATTAAACACGACAGCATGTTTGGTGTTATTCAGCTTTTTTGTTTCATTTTCGAGACGTCGACTGACTATGCACTTACAAGACGGAGGACCCAAGGCACATCTTCATGACCAGCACGGAACCCGACTCACGAGAGACTTACTGACAAACAACACCACAATAATAGCGCGACAAAACGACAAACGACGACTGGCCATCACCGAAACCATCATCATCCGCGACACATCACCCATCATCAACACACACATGAAAACTCTGACAAACATTCCACTGTTCGACAGACAAATGATGTAATGTGTGAAAGTTTAAACGATGTGTCATCTGTGAATTATGATGGTTTGTTGTTGTTATGCGCGACCCAATGTAAATATTCACGGTAACGATGTTAAGACCTGTGTATTTAGCTGGATGTAGATTTGTGTTCGAAAGAGTGGTGCCATGATACAAATAGGACGATGTTTGAAGAAATGTTAATATTTTATTCATCTGTGACATATATTGCGCGGCATCATTTGTGTATATTCATTTCTCTGATGATGATCAATGTTGATCGAAAGCTAAGATAAATATAACAGCGAACGAATTATGAACGAACTTTAATTTACATCCTAATGAGTAACCGATTTACGACAACTTTAATCTCGATCGCAGCCATTGCTTCTTTTGGTGAGTTACTTTTCTCGTTGAACGATGAAGAAAGAAGTACCGTCCGACGTCTCGAAAATGAAACAAAAAAGCTGAATAACACCAAACATGCTGTCGTGTTTAATGACATATATATATATATATATATATATATATATATATATATATATATATATATATATATATATATATATATATATATATATATATATATTAAGCGGCACAGCAGTGCGTAAGGAATCTAACCGACCGCAGAAAGTGTGAGGGCTTAGGTATCGATTTCCCAAACGCTAGAAACCAACAGCTACCTGCCTGAAAGCAGCTCACCATCCTAAAAAGCTACTTGCCTGGGCCAGGGAAAAGGGTGATAACATTTTCAGGAAATGTGTAGCATTGAAGTACCTAATCACGAGAACAAATACGTGAAGAATCATTGACCTTTTCCTCAAAAATGTAAAATCAAGAATAAACCCGTCTCCTGAAAAAAAAACACAATACTTCTCCGTGGTGAACCGTAAGCGCTTGACTGATTGACTTGAGCCTATAGAGGGCGACCGTTCGGGCTGTTTCCCTCTCAAAGTGATGCCCCGTTCGGGCTTCAGTCGGCGTTCGATTATAAAATCTGCAATGTCTGACCTCATTCCGCGGCTAATCCTAGGCGGATCTGTAAAAAAAAAAACTGTAGAAAAGAAACTAGCGATATAAGAAAACTAATATTAGTAACGTGGTGATTGCGTGGTGATCGTGGAGATAGTCTGGATTGTTTGTTTGGTAAGCTTACAGTGAAATTTCCTCATTTTTCCACGTGATTTGCTTAACTGCGTGCCCTCCCCCCCATGACGCGATATCAGCTCCACTGGGGGGGGGGGGAGGGCAGCGGAATCACTGGGGGGGCCGCGGTCCCCCAGTTAACATGTTAGAGGAGGCCCTGGTCTCCTGTGTCGCTTCTTTGTGTCTTTTGTGTATCTCCTCACTCAAGTAGGTAGGTATGTCTCCTGTGTGCCTGCGATGTTACCCTGGGTGTCTCCTTCAGGTCTCGTGTGTTACTTATATGTGTATCCTATGTGTTTACTGTGTCACTTCTGTGTTATCCGTGTGTGTTTTTGTGTCTCTTGTGTGTCCTGCATGTCTCCTGTGTTACACATGTGTTTCTCCAGTGTTACTGCAGTGTTATCCCTTTGTTACTCCTTAGTTTTGGGTGTCTCCTGTGTGGACACAATGTGCCTCTGGTGCGCTCACCGGTGAAGCAGGTGGCGGCGGGGCAGGTGGCGCCGCTCAGGCCGGCTGCCCCCGGTACACCGGCCGGGGACACCAGACTGCGCCCCCGTCCGGCCGCGGCGCCCGGCAGCGCCTCCAGAGCGCCACACGCCGCCGAGCTGGCGCCGTCCACCAGCCACCGGTCCAGCGGCGAGCCGCCTGCCGCCGCAGAGGCCTGGTCAGTCAGAGAGGCAGCGGACGGGTGGGGACGGTGTGAACTGACCTCTGTCTGGGGATGATGTGAACTGACCTCTGTCTGGGGACGGTGTGAACTGACGTCTGTCTGGGGACGGTGTGAACTGACCTCTGTCTGGGGACGGTGTGAACTGACCTCTGTCTGGGGACGGTGTGAACTGACCTCTGGTCTGGGGACGGTATGAACTGACCTTTGAACTGGCGGGCGGTGCTCGAGTCGCTCAGGCCGGCCGCCACTGCCGGCTGCACCAGCAGGAAGGCGGCCAGCGCCGCCAGAGAGGTCAGCACGGCGGCCAGACCCAGCGCGTCGAACTGGGCGCAGGAGCACGGGCCCAGGCCTGGCGGCGACGGCGGCCCACTCACTAACGGCTCACTGCACAACTGCACACAGCCACTTATTGTGCATGTATCGGGTCACTAAAGCCTGAAACAGACTCTTCCCGCAGTCAGGAAATCGCATGCGAGAGCCTATATCAAATACATGCGGAAGCACACTCGCATCAACCGCACGCACCTCCCGGATGCGATTGGTGCAGGAAGAATTATAACGCATTTGAATAGGCTTTCGCATGCAATTTTCTGAACGCAGAAACAGTCTGTTTCAGCCATAACCCGCGACCGCCTGGGGGGGGGGGTCGTATCCGACCCCCCCTCCGTTTTTCTTGAATAACTTATGAACCGCTTACGCTATCGACTTGAAACTTGGCATACCTTCTCCCCCATCAATTTGACGTCTCCTGTGCAATTTTTAAGTTAAAATTCCCATTTTTTTTAGATAGGTATATCGATTTTAGTGATGTAACTACATGGCGTTTTCAGTCAAAAAGTGGTAAATATTTAAAAAATCGCCAAAAATCAGGGTTTGAAGAAAATTGCAAATTAAGGACATGAATAGACGCAGCTCAACGAGTTCTTTAAAATGGCTATCTCGAAGGGGAGAGCGGGGAGAGTTGTATCATGTCCAAGTTGTATCAGGGCGAATTGTGCCAAACTTATCCAATGGATAGCGCTCGCGACACGACCAGCCGACGAGGTTTTCCGGACGCCATCTTTCCCTGTTCTGTCTTGTGGCTGAGTGGAAGCGTCTCGAGGTGAGAGCCGATTTCATGTTTTTTTAATGTCATTCTAAAAAAATAAGTTGCAAGAAAATGTGTGTTTTGGGCATTTAGATGTGCACGAATTTGACAGATCTCCGTAGCGGTGGTGAGGGTAGGTTCTAAGGCTGCGCGAGTGAAAACGGATTTCTCCAGCTGTCCGCTGTTTTTTTAGCACGAGGATGTTTATTCCAAGATGGCGGCTAGGTACATGTTGTATCAGAGCCGGGTGGGGTATGTTGTAACATGTATGTGTGTATGTATGTATGGGTATGTTGCTTTTGATCGCGAAAGCTAAGCCCTGGCTCGCGTTTGTAGGTAGCTAGTCAATGCTCGTTCCATTTCGGCACAATGTGTTGGCTTCTTTGCTCTTAACGGGCCACTTTTGCGTCTAGTCTGTTGATGTTTCGTTCGGATTGCATTGACCTAAGTTTGGTCTAATAAAGTGAAGCCTTTGAGCATACCTATACATTGTATTAACCTCATTTAATGTTGTTGTTATGTTCAAAACCAGAAGCAAGCACACTCCCTGAAACGTGAAATAGTGATACAAATTACCCCACCATGTGATACAACTCACCCAAGCCATGGGGCAAGTTGTATCAAAAACATTGTTCTATTCGGCAGACCGTAGAAGAAAAACTGGTAGAGGTAGCGGAAAAGTTACTTTGCACAAAAAAGCAGAAGAATCCAGGAAGGAGATAGTATGGAAATAATGAGTTTATCACGGATAGTTACGAGGTTAGGGTAGACCGGGGCAAGTCGCCCCGCCGAGGTAAAACGCCTCACCGATGTTTCTCGGAACTGGCAAGGTTCTGGGGAAACATCCTCTCTTCTATAAAACGTGCACTATACGATCATTATATGAGCAGACTGGAAATAAATTGTGATGACTCTTTAGGGAGATATAGCCAAAAATGTGTTTTTAGAGTGATTTTTATGTTTTGTTTTCAGATTATGCATCATGGCGTTCTTTTATCATCCACATCAGGTTAGCGACTTTTATGTATTTTGAACAACTATTGTCTAACGCTTACAATGCCGGGTTGGTTCGTGTTAAATTATGTCTTCCTGGAGTGCAAGGCGTTGTTCTCTGACCGAACTACGTGATGGGGTAAAACGCCCCAGTAGGTCGCGGGGCAAAAAGCCCCATGGGGCGTTTTACCTCATGTGTTGTTCGGACTACCCACTTCCTAACGTTCGGTAGCTGGCGAACGGTATGTTTCTATGCATTTATATGTACTTTTCTCAGCAACTGGATGGCAAAGGAAGTATTTTGTTAACATTTCCATTGCAATAATTTATTATTTGGCCTTATGAGGCAGGTGAAAAACCTGCTCATACAATAGTGTCGTAGCTGAACACCTGATAGGATGGAAGGTGCTAACTTCAGTGCCATGCCTCCCAAGGTCCAACGGACCTTTCATATAAGATTTAGTCAACTAGCATGTTTAATCTTTAATCTAGAGTATGGGGCTTCTTGCCCCAGGCCGTGGGGCGTTTTGCCCTGGGGTTGGGGCAAAACGCCCTATTTGCAGTTGCTTCACAAACCACCTCCTAGCTGGGAGTCCGATCATAAGTGAATGAATTTGAGGGGTGGAATTTAAAGTAAAATGTCCAAAGAACGCATTGAGCACAAATTTGGCCTTCCAGGTTATGTGGAATAAAAGTTATGTAGCAAAGTAAATTATCTGGGGCGTCTTGCCCCAGGCTACCCTATGGGTCTCGGAGTAAAAACTGATACAACCCACCCCACTCTCCCCTATTTTCCATAAAATGCGTTTTTCACCCCTTAAAATTCAAAAAACTATATTTTTGGAAAACAGCTGATGAAATCCAAAATTTTGAGAATTTCCAAAAACCGGAATATATGTTATAGAGCTCTATTAGAACATTAGATGTCCCAAATTTCAACTTTCTATCTTGATTTTTGACCCCCAAATTGTAAAAAATAGCTCCAACATGCATAGGGCATGGTGACGTCATAAGCATTTTCGTGAATTAGAGGCACTTCTGAACATCGCATGTGAAAACAAATAGCACCACTAGATTCCTGGGACAAAGCTCGTCTAGAAAACTGCATTTTTATGTCAAAAATAAAAAGTTGAAAAATTGACCTTTTTTCTTAGCCATCGCTTAGTTATGTATGGTATGAACGATTTTTTATGCTTTCAATGCACACTTGTCACCAAGCACAGTGACTTGGGGTCACATATAACCATTACCATCGGATTCGGCGTGAAAAATAAGCCATAAAACATGTGTCGCACGGCCATGTAGCAGAAAGTGAAAACCGTAACCTTTCGTGACCTGACCTGACCTTGACCCGTACTTAGTATGACCCCTATATGCACATGGTACCTTCACTAGGTCTTTGAGGTCATTTTTGGTGAGTTTTGAGCAGCAGCTGTCGATTCCGCTGTCCGTAAGCCTAATCATGCAAAACCCCAGAATTTGACCTTTGACCTGACCTTGACCCGAAAGTTGACCTCAATCTTAAAATCTTAAGGGTGCTTTGGGAAGGTCTCGTAGAGACCTTTCGAACGCCGCCTCGCGGGGATCGATACGACCATTGGTTCTCGAGATAACAGGGGGGGGGGCGGATCCGACCCCCCCCCCAGGCTGTCGTGGGTACGGAAATAGCCCAGGCAGGTGCCGGGTTAACATAGCACAATTTAGAGGACCCACCGTCATTTCGGGTCATTCTTTGACACGATTCCGTGTGCTTGAGATAGTTTGAGATCGTTTCCGGCGCCAAAATAGCAGTTTTCATTTTCCCCCGTTGACTTGGTGGTGACTGGTGACTTAACCCGCGCCCCGCTGGGCTATTCAGCCATACGCGCCCTGCTGGGGGGGGGGGGGAGGGCAGATTATGCCCCCCCCCCCTGTCTAACTTCCGAACCGATGGTCGTAGAAAGACGGGGAAAACGGCAATCGAAAGCTCTCAACAAGGCGGATCTAAAGAGCCGACTTTTTTGCTTAAGTAGGTCAGAGGTCAGGTCAAGGTCAGGTCAAGGGTACAAAATGTAGGGGAGAGTGGGGAAAGATGCCCAGGGTTTGACTATGTCATATATTATTCGAAAATGACGATCGGAAAGCCAAAACTTGGAGTTTCAACGGAAGCCAACATCATTTTTCTCCAAAAATATCACACTTTCGTGCCTGAAATATGATAACTTTTTTTGCTATTAAGCATTTTCCTGAAGAAGTGAAAGGGGGCATCTTACCCTACAGGGTGGGAAAGACGCCCCCTGGCGTTGGGTAAGATGCCCCCTGCACTATAAGTGACATAAATAGGCAGGTGAATCGCCTGAACGAATCAGACGTCCCTTCGTGCCTGCAGTAGACACCAAACGTCATCGTAAGGGCCCTCAAAAGTAGTCGTAAGGGGCTTCAGAAGTCATCGTTAGGGCCATCATAGTCCAGCGTGGCCAAACAAGCCTCCGTGGTGGCGTTCGGAGACCACTGTGGGGCCCTTATAGGTCTTCATGATGCTTGAGGGCCCTCGAGCCCATCGTGGGGACCTCAGATGCCAGCGCGGCCCGTGGAGCCAACGTGGGAACCCTCAAAGGATGTCGTGAGGGGCCCTGGAACCAATAATGGGGCCCACAGAGGCCGTCGTGAGGGCTCTCAGAGTCAGATGCCGCCCAAAAAGTCGTTGTGTGGGCCGAGAGACCGGCATGGGGAGCACCCGACCGTACCGGATTCTCAATAGTCCCAGATCGGCTTTTGTCTCTCATCACAAGTGTGTAATAAATGATTTGACGGGCTGCCTGAAGGACAGCCTGCGGATTTAGGGGGGCGTCTTTCCCCATCAGGACAGGGGGCATCTTACCCCAAGGTACCGAAGTAACATTAAATCAGCACAATTTGTTAGCCATAAAACTACACCCTGAAACAAACTGTTTGGGACGCAGCACACGCATGTTAATGTATCACGACTATAGCAAGGGACGCAAAAATTATCTACCTTCTTTGATATTTACAATGTTTTGACGTCAAAATATTTTTTGAAAGCAGCAAATAAAAAACATGCAATCACCAGCCAGCCGTTGCCCAACTGAGTTTCGCAAATTTTTGTGCAGTTAACAAGGCAGGCTTCCGCTTTACGCTAAGAACATTAATTTCCAGGTTCGATTCTTTGTTTCCCCGCTAGAGGGGGTGGGGCGTCTTTCCCACCCTGGGCATCTTACCCCACTCTCCCCTAAGTTTCTACAGTATCGGCCTTGCACCGTAGTTGCCGGAGAATGGACTGAGACTGATTGCCCAAAACGTGTTCTTATACTACCAAGACAATATTCGTTGCATACAATGTCATTCAAAGGTCAAGGTCAGGTCAGGTCAGGTCAGGTCACCAAAAACAAAATATAGAAAAGGGCATGTGCGACACATGTTTTATGGGTCATTTTACACATATAATTCAATAGGCACACTCAATAAGTGATATGGACCACCTCTGGATGAATTTCAGGTCGAGGTCAGGTCAAGGTCAGGTCAAGTGAGGTCAAATTTTGAAGTTGGTTGTTAAGGCCTAAAAAGGTGTCTATCTGATGCAGTTTTTCACGGCGAATCGAATGGTGCTATTTTTGTTTCCGTACGAGGTCTAGAACTTCCAAAAAATTATTTTTCAAAATTTTTGTGTGTCGTGACGTCATAAAATTTTGCATAACTCCCACATTTTCGAACCGATTCTTCTAAAAATTGGTATATAGGTGCACATAGACTACTTCTCTGACATATATTCCGGTTTTTTCGATACACTCAAAATTTTGAATTTTATAATAATTTCCCCCCAAAAGTCAGTTTTTTTAGAAAAAAAATTGGGTCAAAATCCAAAATTTTCAAAAAACCGAGATAGCCATTTGATAGACAAAGTAGAATCACGTGTAACATTTTTTTGTTACGTCTTGATTCCTTTAACAATGAAGATGTTAGCGGCGTTTGAAATTTTGCCGTTTTTGAGGCGAAAATGGCGAACATGGCGTCACAAAAACGTCAATTTCCCAAAAAATTTCCGACGGATTTCCTCAAATTTTCAGGGAACGTGTCAAATTGATGTATGATAAGGTACTGAAAATTTGACGTCGCTGGCGTGACGCGTTTAGAAGTTATTGGCGAAAAACGGGAGGGGGGCAGATTCTGCCCCCCCCCCCAGCGGGGCGCGGGTTAACCCTCGCCCGCATTTGTGTTTTTCCAGCCGCAAACGTATAAGGGGGGAAGTCCTTTGGACCCCCTTGCGGTTTCGCCCCTGATCGAGCTAGAGCTTCGCGGAAAAAAAAAACGAGCGTGTTGCCCGTGACGAGAGGAACGGGGGCTCCTGCAGCTGATATAACGGGGGTCTGCAGCTGATATAACGGGGGCCGCTGCAGCTGATATAACGGGGGCCGTTGCAGCTGATATAACGGGGGACTGCAGCTGATATAGGTAACGGGGGCCGCTGCAGCTGATATAACGGGGGACTGCAGCTGATACAACGGGGGCAGCTGCAGCTGATATAACGGCGGGCCGCTGCAGCTGATATAAACAGGGGCCGCTGCAGCTGATATAAACAGGGGCCGCTGCAGCTGATATAGCGGGGGGCCGCTGCAGCTGATATATCGGGGGGCGCTGCAGCTGATATAACGGGGGGCCGCTGCAGCTGATATAACGAGGGACTGCAGCTGATATAACGGGGGTCCGCTGCAGCTGATATAGCGGGGGTCCGCTGCAGCTGATATAACGGGGGGCCGCTGCAGCTGATATAACGGGGGGCCGCTGCAGCTGATATAACGGGGGCCGTTGCAGCTGATATAACGGGGGCCGTTGCAGCTGATGTAATGGGGGGCCGCTGCAGCTGATATAACGGGGGCAGCCGCAGCTGATATAACGGCGGGCCGCTGCAGCTGACATAAACAGGGGACCGCTGCAGCTGATATAACGGGGGGCCGCTGCAGCTGATGTAATGGGGGGCCGCTGCAGCTGATATAACGGGGGCAGCTGCAGCTGATATAACGGCGGGCCGCTGCAGCTGATATAAACAGGGGACCGCTGCAGCTGATATAGCGGGGGGCCGCTGCAGCTGATATATCGGGGGGCGCTGCAGCTGATATAACGGGGGGCCGCTGCAGCTGATATAACGAGGGACTGCAGCTGATATAACGGGGGTCCGCTGCAGCTGATATAGCGGGGGTCCGCTGCAGCTGATATAACGGGGGGCCGCTGCAGCTGATATAACGGGGGCCGTTGCAGCTGATATAACGGGGGCCGTTGCAGCTGATATAACGGGGGGCCGCTGCAGCTGATATAACGGGGGCCCGCTGCAGCTGATATAGCGGGGGGCCGCTGCAGCTGATATATCGGGGGGCGCTGCAGCTGATATAACGGGGGCCCGCTGCAGCTGATATAACGGGGGGCCGCTGCAGCTGATATAACGGGGGCCGTTGCAGCTGATATAACGGGGGGCCGCTGCAGCTGATATAACGTGGGGCCGCTGCAGCTGATATAACGGGGGTCCGCTGCAGCTGATATAACGGGGGGCCGCTGCAGCTGGTATAACGGGGGGCCGCTGCAGCTGATATAACGGGGGTCCGCTGCAGCTGATATAACGGGGGTCCGCTGCAGCTGATATAGCGGGGGTCCGCTGCAGCTGATATAACGGGGGCCGTTGCAGCTGATATAACGGGGGGCCGCTGCAGCTGATATAACGGGGGGCCGCTGCAGCTGATATAACGGGGGGCCGCTGCTGATATAACGGGAGGCCGCTGCAGCTGATATAGCGGGGGCCGCTGCAGCTGATATAACGGGGGGCCGCTGCAGCTGATATAACGGGGGGCCGCTGCAGGCCGACTCACCTCCCAGCGCCGCCCCCGGGGCGGCCGCGGCGTACTGCTCCGAGTGGCCGTGCCCCTCCTCCGTGCCGTACCCGTCCTCCGTGCCGTACGGCTCGGCGTCGTACCCGTCCTCCGTGCCGTACGGCTCGGCGTCGTACCCCTCCTCCGTGCCGTACGGCTCGGCGCCGTACCCGTCCTCCGGTCCGTATCCATCCGAGTGGCCGTACATGTCTGGCGTGTGCTGGTCTGGTGCGAGCCCCCGACGGTACCCGGCGCTCCGGTACTCGGTGTGGTCGGTACCGGGGTACTGCTCCGTCCCGAGGTACTGCCCGGTACCGGGACTCTGCTGGGTACCGGGCTCGTGGCCGTTCCGGTACCCCGGGTACAGGTACCCGCCGTCCGCCAGGCGGTACCCGGAGTACACCGGCCCGGCGCGCCCCAGCAGAGGGGACGCGCCCGGCGCGGAGCGGCCGCATGCGGCGACAGCCAGCGCCAGTACCAGGGACCGCAGCATGACGGCTCCAGCAGCGCTGATGAGCTGGCGCAGCTCCCCGACAGCGGCTGAGCTGAGCTGGCGCAGCTCCCCGACAGCGGCTGAGCTGAGCTGACGCCGCTCCCCGACAGCGGCTGAGCTGAGCTGGCGCAGCTCCCCGACAGCGGCTGAGCTGAGCTGGCGCCGCTCCCCGACAGCGTCTGAGCTGAGCTGGCGCAGCTCCGGCCCTACCGCTCGGTCTGAGCTCGGCAGCGCCACAGACGCACAGTGTTCTACAGAAAACCTACATCCGCATATATACAAACCGAAACTGAAAAAAGCTCGGCCCACTTGCAGTGCTGCCGCGGGGCCGGCGGCCGGTTCAGTGTCCTGCCACAGCTCGGGACGCGCTCGGCCGGCGGCCGACAGACAGACCCACCGCACCCAAACCATTCAGGACGGAGACATAATGGCGAGTTCATGCTGAGCGATCATCATCAACAACGCTCAGCTGAACAATCATATCCGATCGAGAGCCTTCCACAGCAGAAAAAGAAAACAATTTGTGCTCGTTGCATACACTATGGGCCATGCCTGAATCCGAAATGCGTTTGCAATCCATCAGACGTCCACTCCGTCCTGCTTAAAGGCTGAGTGAAATCGGGCCGCACGGCTTGGTCAGACCGTTATCAGGGTGGATATTCGAGTATTGCTGTGTGCAACGTATGTCCAAGCATATGATAGTCCCAGAAGCTGCCCAGAGAGCGCGACTCAGTACAGCTTCATATGTCCGAGTCCAGAGCCACTGGGCCGGAGGGGGGTTCTGCACGCATGGCCCGGCTGCACTTATTTAGGACGCCGAACCAACGTAACTACAGGCCAAGGACGTAAGGCGACGGCCCTTAATTAACCCGCGACTGCCTGGGGGGGGGGGGTCGGATCCGACCCCCTCCCTCCGTTTTTCTTGAATAACTCATGAACCGCTTAAGCTACCTACTTGAAACTTGGCATACCTTCTCCCCCATCAAGTTGACGTCTCCTGTGCAATTTTTAAGAAAAAATTTCCAAAATTGTTTGAGATATATCGATTTTAGTGTTGTAACTACATGGCGTTTTCAGTCAAAAAGTGATAAATGTTTTTTTAAAAAATCGCCAAGAATCGAGGTTTAAAGCAAATTGCAAATTAAGGCGATGAATAGACGCAGCTCAATAAGTTCGTTAAGATGGCTATCTCGGATTTTCCATAAAATGCGTTTTTTACCCCTAAAAATTCAAAAAACATTTTTTTTTGGAAAACAGCTAATAAAATCCAAAATTTTGGGAATTTCCAAAAAACCGGAATATATGTTATAGAGCTCTATTAGAACATTTGATGTCCCAAATTTGAACTTTCTATCTTGATTTTTGACCCCCAAATTGTAAAAAAATAGCTCCAACATGCATAGGGTATGGTGACGTCATAAGCATTTTCGTGAATTAGAGGCACTTCTGAACATCGCATGTGAAAACAAATGGCACTACTACTTACTAGATTCCTGGGACAAAGCTCGTCTAGAAAATTGCATTTTTATGTCAAAAATAAAAGTTGAAAAATTGACTTATTTTTCTTAGCCCTTGTTTAGTTATGTAGGGTAGTGTGGGGTAATTTGAACATATTTTTACGTCTTCTCCTTTGTACCAAATTCCAGCTCAACCCTGGATGAAGAAAAACTGCTTCAGTAGCGCAAGTGTCACTTGCTTTCACCATGCAAGCCTCATTTTTGGACGAGCCGAGCATACCTTGAATAGCATAGCCTCACTTCTCCACCAAGTCACGGTGTGTTCGAATCGCCCCACCGTGGGGTAATTTGAACATACTGACTTTACGTGCCATAAAAACGATAATCTCGCCAGCACCGATGTTGTTTGATGCATAAACAAATTGGCAGAACAATTCTAAACATACCTTCATTTGAAAAATCAACACAACAACAAAAATAACAGTTGCAGAGTATCAATATCTGCACGCTGCACACCGGTCAGTTGACAGAATTCGCCTCTCTTCAATTAACAGAACGTCTATCATTTTTGTTCGATAAAAACTCTCCCAACCTTACTGCATCTGTTATAGTGGTGCCAATCGAAACCTGGACACTTGGAGTTCTGATTTTGTCCAATGTCCAATTCGGAATTGGTTGGACAAAGGTAGCAGACTGGACAGCATTGGACGATGGCTTGCTACACTGCAGCGCTTTTTATAAAGTAATCGTGCATAGCATTGATTGGCGAATGGAAAGCTTGTTAAGCTCTCAATATAATGAACACTTTTCGGCTGGTAAAATTACATTATAAGCAATTTAAATGACAGTTTTGAGTGTTGATTATTGCGTAATTTTTGGACATATATGGACAAATGGCTGACTTTAACATTTTTGAACGGAAATCGACTAAAATGCCGGACATTAGACGGATATTAGGCGTAAATGTTATAAAACTGGCATCACTAATCTGCTACTGCTTTGGGTCGAAAATATTGGGAAAAAAACTGGTAGCGTTGTTTTTTTCGGAGCTATCCCTGCCTTCACTGAAATTCGCACACTATGTTCAAATTACCCCACGCTAAAAGTTATCCCGCGACCTGGTGGGGGGGGGGGCTATTTTTTGCCCCCCCTCCAGACTTTTCGATATATCTCCAGAACCACTGCGCCGATCGTCACCAAACTTTCAGTACCCTCCCGGACATCAATTTTACACATTGTGACCAAAAATTTTTTCCAAAGGCTATGATAGGTTGGCCGGAAATGACGTCACAGTGACGTCATGTTCTGCCGTTTTCGACCTAAAAAAGGGTTTCGCGGGAAGAGCTGTCAGGCCTATATCTTTGCAAATACAGAAAAATGATACAGACATAAAAGCTGTAGAATGAACAGGGCTACAAAACTGCTATCTCAGATTTTTGAAATTGTTGGATTTTGACCCCCAAAAATAAAAAAATATATTTTTTTAATATAATAGCCAAAAAATCCAAAAAGTTTTTTGAATTTCGAAAAAAAACCGGAATAAATGTGATAGTCCCTACCGCCTTCCATCTACATACCAAATTTGAGATCGATAACTCTGTTTTTGGCCAAGTTATAGCGAAAAAAACTGTTCAAAATTGATGACGTCAAATTTTCAAACTCAATTTTCAGCAATTCTAGACCTCGTAGCGCAAAACAAAGACCACCATTAGACTCCCCGTGACGAGCTGCATCGAATCAATACCCATTTTATGCAAAAATATCAACTTTTAAATTTGACCTTTTTTGACCTGACCTTGACCTGACCTCCACCAGAAAGTGACCTAAACCGTACCTGATGGTCTTATAACCAACACCATTGAGTTGGAAATGAAAAACTGGCCATAAAACATGCATCGCATAACCTTAGTAAAGTTGGGTTCATGTGGTGACCCTTGGTGACCTTTGGTGACCTGACCTGTGACCTGACCTGGTATGACCAGTGACCTCTAACAGCAACATATCTACTAGGCAACTGACGCCCTATCGCTGATTCCCGACAAAATGCGTTTTCCTCGGTGTTATAGCGCATTCCCTAGAAGACCCGTGAACGGTAAAACATTTTATCTTTGACCTGACCTGTGACGTCATCGGTGACCCCGAGGTCAATGAAATTTGGTTTCCTTCGACAAATTTGACAGGCCTTTCGAACGCCGTTTGAATTTTGCGGATCCGTCCAGTAGTTTCGGAGATACGAGGGGGGGAGGGCAAAAAATAGCCCCCCCCCCACCAGGTCGCGTTATAAACAGACCCCACCAGGGCGCGGGTTATTTTGCCATATCTAAAAACAGGTTTCAAAAGCAAGTTTCTTGGATTGAAGGCACTGATAAGGTCATTGTACAACAAAAGCCGTTGCGTATTAGGCGCTAGCAATGCAAGATTTTGCGCTGCAATGAAGTTGCAATGACTTATTGTTGCAATGACAATTGACTTATTATAGTTGCAATGTCTTATTGCCATGCCACCTATGGATTTTCCGTAATTTTGTGTTTTTCACACTATGTTCAAATTGCCCCACATGTTCAAATTACCCCACCCTACCCTATGGTATAAACGATTTTTTATACTTTCTGTTCGTGAGAATCGTTCAGTTCGCCCGTTCGATGCGGAAAGGTTTGTGCGTGCTCGTGATCGTTCACTCGTTCTCGTACTCGTTCTCTTTCGTCACCCGGAGGACCATAAAGTTATTGTTCATATATGAAAAAGTCTATTCTCGATTACTTAGCAAGCGGTTAAAAAAGGGTGAAATACGGCGGTCACAGGTGCAGCGCAATTTGTCGTTCTCGGCACGTCGTTCACGTAAGGCCGCGTCGGCCACGTCGTAACACCGGGCCGTGTCGCGCCGGTGGAGTCGCGTTCGAGACTGCTCGTACTCAGGCCGCGTCGGCCACGTCGTATGACACCGGGCCGTGTCGCACCGGCGGAGTCCCGTTGAAGACTGTCGGGCCCCCGTCCCGTCTCAGCCCTCGTGGTACGCACAACACGTGGGCATGAGAACCAGGACAGGGGCCAGATGACACATATGTGAGCGGCGTGGCGCGGCGGACCGACCGCCGCGCTCCGAGCGCCGGCCGTCTTTGCGAAGATATCCAAAATGCCTATTTGCTCGCTAACACTTTCAATGCACGCTTATCACCAGCACAGTGACTTGGGGTCACATATAACCATTACCATCGTATTCGGCGTGAAAAATAAGCCATAAAACATGTGTCGCACGCCTATGTAGCAGAAAGTGAAAACCGTGACCTTTCGTGACCTGACCTGACCTTGAACCGTACTTATTATGACCACTATACGCACATGGTACCTTCACTAGGCCTTTGAGGTCATTTTTGGTGAGTTTCGAACAGCAGCTATCGATTCCGCTGTCCGTAAGCCTAGGGCAAAACCCCTGAATTTGACCTTTGACCTAACCTTGACCCGAAAGTTGACCTCAATCTTAAAATCTTAAGAGTGCTTTGGGAAGGTCTCGTAGAGACCTTTCGAACGCCTCCTCGCGGGGCT